GGAGGGGGAGAGGGAGGGGAAGGAGAAGGGGGAGGGAAGGGAGGGGAAAGCTATCCGGTGACTGTGGAAGCCGAGCTCTGGCTGAGACGTGAGCCGAGCCTGGCGGAGGGAGGTTCCTGGCTCTGGCCATGGAACGTTCTGGGTCTGGCTCTGGGGCGACCCTGACCCCGAGAGGAAGGGGGTGCCCAGGACACACGTAGGGGCTCTGATGGCACCAACACGAGTTGCAGGGACGCCTGCTGATCAGGACGGCGACTCCCCAGGTCTGCGCCCCGGGCCTGCGCCCCCGCCTCCCCGCCTCCCGGGGTGACTGGTCCTCGGTGCCATGGAGCCGGCGGCTTCCCTGCGCGTCTCCCCGCCGGACCCCCTGCTCTTCTTCCCCTTCCTCGGCCTGTCGGCGCTCGTCTCAGGTGGGCACTGGTCTCAGGTGGGGCTGGTCTCAGGTGGGCGCTGGTCTCAGGTGGGCGCTGGTCTCAGGTGGGGGCCGGTCTCAGGGCCGGTCTCAGGTGGGCACTGGTCTCAGGTGGGGTCCGGTCTCAGGTGGGCACTGGTCTCAGGTGGGCTCTGGTCTCAGGTGGGCACTGGTCTCAAGTGGGGCTGGTCTCAGGTGGGCGCTGGTCTCAGGTGGGCACTGGTCTCAGGTGGGGCTGGTCTCAGGTGGGGGCTGCCACACTTCCCTCTGAGTGTGCTCACACCTTCGTGCACGTATTTGTTGAGTTCACGCCAGCGCCCCCAGTTCAAAGGCACATAACCCCCAAGTAACCAAAATTCAAACTTTATCAGAGGAAAGGAGAGAGGGAGAGAGGGAGAGAGAGGGAGAGAGGGAGACCAATGATGAGAGAGAATCATTGATTGGCTGCCAGGGCCGGAAGACCCTGAGCGATGGATGGGCAGATGCTCTGACAGTTTCTGTGAAAGGGGCTAAGGCACCGCTTGGCTATCGCACCAGGTAGCCCTGTTCGCCTGCCTCGCTGGCTTTTATTGTCCTGACAGCTTGAACTCAAATTAGCCTCTGGGTACAATCAGCAGGTAGGCATCCTTGAGGAAGCACATGCTTCTACAGTGTCGGGTCTTAAAGACTAAACATAGAGATTCTAGCAGAACACCCGGGGATCGGGCTTGTTTGGAAAAGTCAGGTAGGGGCTGCGCCTTCAGCAAGGTCCCCTCAGAGCCCTGACCTTTCGGAGGACCCTCCGTACAGACCTTCCAGCCAAGTCCCGTGCTCCCCACAACTGGCTGCACCGGCTGGGCCTCATTCAAATTGTTGTTGTTAATCCTCAAGGGAAAGTATTTTTCCATTGATTTTTAGGGAGAGTGGAAGAGAGAGGGAAAGACAGAGAGA